GTAGTTAGAACAGCTAAAAATTGCACAAGGCCAGTATCAAAGTAGCAAATGGCAAGCTGAAAGTTAAAATGTAAAGAATGACAGCTAAAAGCCAAAAATAGCAATAAGGCTAAATTAAACATAGCTACACACACAAACAAAAGCTAGCAAATAAAAACGAAATAGCTAAATAGAAGCTAAAAATCAAAACTAGCGAATGAAGACACAACATATGCAGAATTAGTACGACTACAAAAGATGCACTAATGACATTTTTTTAAAGTTGTATAAAGGAGAGTGGCAAGCTCAAATGAGGTAAACATTTTACATGAATGCTTGTTTCTTATTTAAAAATCACACTCATTTACTGCTTCTACAGCTGTATAATATAACAGTAAGCAGCATGGACAATATTTATCGCACGTAGTACAAAGAGATTAATACATGTGCTGCATGAGAGACTAAAGAGACAATTTGTAATGTGTGTGTGTGTGTGTGTGTGTGTGTGTGTGTGTGTTTGTATTTGTTACCTTGTAAAGCTCATTTTTCCAACACAGACGACATTGTGTTGACCAACTGCTCCTTAGGGGGCCCAAAGCTTGGACTCCATAAGAAGAAGTGCCGTTGGTGAGTAAGGGGTTAGGTTTAGGACTATGGTGTGAATTGAGGATGAGAAAGTTCGATCAGGATAGTTATATATGCTAATGGCAGATGGGAGGAAAGTTGTGTCATTCGGAGGAACTTTCATTCTGATCAGTTTGTCGACAGGTGTTTTTCTGACAAAGCAAAACTTTGAAGGTGGTGATCAGCATCATTAATGACAAACTACAACCTAAGCCAATGTTTGGATCTGTTTGCTAAGCCTCCTGGTGTCTGCTACTTTTAAAGTAAATGGACTAAATGGACATGGGATTGGTTGGAGGTTGTGATCTTCTCAGATGCACTCTCTGAACCACCTGTAAAAATCTTTGGGTTTGCAGATTTTGAGCTGCAGCTGGTTTAGCTAACACCAGTCAATAAATCAGTCCAGTGCCTTCCTAGTTAAGTATTTTTTAACACAGCTTAAAAATGGTAGTTTTAATTTGACAACTCTAAGACTGACCTGAAAAAGAAATCATTGAACAATCCAAATTAATCTAAAGATTAATCTAAAGGTGTATATTCAAACTGTTTGTAACTTCAGTCATCTTAGAACAGTTCTGTTTAGACTAGAGTGAGAAATGGTGCAATAAAGACTTTATCAGAGTCAATGGGAAAAAAATCCACTTTGTAAACTAAAACTATTGTTACTCCTTTATCTTTTTGGAAATCTTCAATGCACTTACTGCAGTTCAAAGTAACAAAACATTTTACCAGGGTGCCCAAACCTTTCAATGTCACTGTATGTGATTGGTATGTCTATATATTGTATGTTATCTATATATTAAAATGCTACAGTTCATTTGATTTATAATCCTTTTGTCAATAGTTATACTGACAATTATGAATTTATTGTTTTGGAAAGAACGAGCAAATACGCTGCTGAGCACATGCAGAACATACATAGAAGTATTTTTTGTGTGTATGTGTTTAAGAATATATTCGTTACACTGTGTCATGGAGCCATCAGAGATCACTGCAGATCACATCAAGATAAAACAGCTGCCATGCTGAAACTCACATTGTTTCCAGATTGAAAATAAAGCTTTTGTCTTGTCTTGCGCCGACCGATGAGCATAATTACGAGTCTCTGTGCTCTTCATATGCATGGGCAGCAATCCCATTACCTTAATGGAAACAATGAAGGGTTATCAGGAAGCGCCCACGGTAACCTGGTCTCCGTGGTAAGATGAATGTCTGTTGCTCATATCCTCTAATGATGGGTTATATTTGTAAGCCATATTTCCATGCTGTTGCTTATTGTTTCAACGAGTGTGACTCACCTTAATTCCCAACAGGAACACGGATCGGTTGTATCGTTGGAGCCGTTTATTGTCAGCATAAATTTAAACAGTTTTTATGAGGTAATGAACAGGAAATGAAATTATTAGTCAGTGAGGAGACTTGGCATTGCATTGAATGTCAACGTAAAAGTAGCTGCATGGTTTATGTGATTGTAATGTTTGAAAAAAAAAACATCTTTCTGTTCCTTCTTTGTAAACTGGGTGATGGTTTTGCAGGTCAACAACCAAAAATGCTGTGAGATGCAGCTTTGATCAGTTGCCATTTAGGAGCGCTGATCAATCTCTGTCAACATTCAGTTTGTTGAAAGCCAGTGTGAAGTGGAATACAGAGTTCGATTGACTGTCGAAGGAGAGACGGAAAAATAAGATGCGTTTTTTTTACTTGGAGAAATTAAATTATTTGGTGATGGTGATGGATCTAGAAAATCAAATTGGGAGGCATGTCTAAAAATGAAAAGGAGGAACCCGTTACCAAAATGTGCTGCAAAACTGCAGGGAGCTGCAAATTGGTGACCAGAGCTCGATCATTTATTATTTTAATTTCAATTGCTGCACTCATGACCAGTTGGTAATAAAACTAAATAACCTATAAGTACCATTTTATCAACAAATGTATTTTTTCTCAATGTCTTTTATTCCCACAAGATATAAACACAGTGTATTGACAAATCATTAAACCCTATTGCCCCAGTCTTTGCCCTGGTTAAGTACAAAACACTTGTGCTGTAAATATAAGGTTAAAGCCACGAGTTTGTTGGTTTTGTTCAGTGCAAAAAATAAATAAAGAAATAGAAAGGAAAATGAGAAAAATAAGTTCTGGCAGTAGTTTCATATACACACAAAGATGACAAAGTACAAACATTCCAACTCTGGCCTTGTTTTAAAAAAATGGTATTTACCTGATTTTTACATTTTCTTTTAATTCAGCTTTTTTTTTTTTTGTCATTTTGTTTTGAAGTTGCACAATACATCTTCTGGAACGTTGTAAAACACTATTTAGAATGCATTGACAGCAGCTCAGTCCATAAGGCATGATAAAAGAAACAAAGAAGCAAGTCATTTTTTATTGTCATTCGCATCCCATGTGGTACATGAGGTGGAACGAAATTATATAATCAAGGTCCCAGTTACATCCAACAATAGCAAAAATGTAAAGTGTAAAATGAACAAAAGTATATAAGTATCTAAGATGTACACTAAGATTTACGCTAAACAAATGCCAAACGGTACAATAAAGGATCTAAGATATACGCTAAACACTAATGATGTAAAACAATACGGCGGATCAACAGCAGCCTGAACATGAGTCTGAGGAGAGCAGATGGGTATGAATGAATACAGCAGCATGAGATAATCAGCAGCATGAGATCAGCAGCATGGATAATCAGCAGCAAAGCTAAGTCACATATCGCCAAATTAAAGTGGCATTACAGTGATTTTTTTTTTTTCTTACAGTGATTTTCCTGGTTAGGGATTCATGAGTCTAACAGCTTCAGGGTAGAAGTTGTTCCTAAGTCTAGTGGTTCTACACTTAATGCTCTGCAACCTTCTGCCTAAGGGGAGCAAGGCAAAAAGTCTGTGCTGGGTGAGTGGGGTCCTTCATGATGCAGGTGGCCCTCTTCCTGCATCTGGAGGTGTCCCAGACCAGCTCGTCTCATCCGCCTGAGGAAGTAGAGTCTCTGATGAGCTTTTTTGATCAGGCTGGTGGTGTTGTTGCTCCAGATGAGGTTGTCATTCATGTGTACACCCAAGTACTTGTACCTGTAACTGGAGATCACTTCCACTACAGATCCTCTCATGTTCGTGTTGTAGGGGGGTAGGTGTGTTTGCTCTGTCTGAAATCCACGACCATCTCCTTTGTCTTCTTCACATTGATGTGAAGGTTGTTCTTCCTGCACCAGCTCTCCAGGTGTTTCACCTCCTGCCTATAGCTGGACTCATCATTGTTTGAGATGCATCCCACCAACGCTGTAACAAAGTTCATGCTCAACCATCCAGGTATCATCTGCAAACTTTACAATATGACAGCCTGGATGGGTAGGTGCACAGTCATATGTGAACAGAGTGAACAGGAGGGGGCTCAACACACAGCCCTGAGGGGAGCCAATGCTGAAGGTTATGGTGGAGAAGGAGAAGTTGTGGATCCTCACAGACTGTTGTCTGTTTGTTAAGAAGCCCAGGACCCATTTGCAAATGGAGGGGCTTAGTCCTAGTGTGAGTAATTTATCTATCAGGGTCTGGGGAATCATGGAGTTGAAGGCAGACGTGAAGTCCACAAAGAACATACGGACGTAGGAGTTCTGCTGCTCCAGGTGGGTGAGAGCAGTGTGGACCACAGAGGAGATGGCATCCTCTGTTGATTGATTCTCGCAATATGCGTACTGAAGAGGGTCCTCGTTGATGTTGATGGTTGTTCTGATGTGGGTCATGACCAGTTTTCAAAGCATTTAGCGACTATCGGGGTGAGAACTACTGGCCGGTAGTCATTCAGACCACTCCCTGTAGAGCTCTTTGGGAGTGGGATGATGGTAGCAGTCTTCAGACAGGTGGAAACTGTCGCCAGGGTGAGGGAGGAGGTAAAGATGTTGGCCAGCAACTTGCAGAGCTGATTGGCAGAATCTTTCAGCACCCTCCCCAGGTTGTTGTCTGGGCCAGTTGCTTTGTTTGGATTAATCCTCTTGAAGGTCTTCCTTATTTCTGCTGAGGTCACGCTGAAGAACTCCTCTTCTGGTGGTGAGGTGAGTCTGGTGCTGGGTGGTCTGTTTGAGTCTTCAAAGTGGGCATAGAACCTGTTAAGAGCATCAAGCAGATGTGACTGTACTTTGGCTAAATGTTTTAAGGTTGCCTGTGTTTGGTTTGTCTGTCTTGCCTTTTTTTTTTTTGGACTTGAATTTAAGGCTTTTAGCCTGGAACACTTCTGGGTGAAAGCAGAGAAACCCTGGAGAGTTTAAAAAATATCTACTACTGTCCAACATTTCTTGCACCCTGATCTTTCCTTTTCAATAGGAGATAGCAACTTGTCTTTTCTGTCTTTCTCTCTGATTAACAGGAGAACCACTGTCGCAGGATCAAGATCCTGGGGGACTGTTATTACTGTGTTTCTGGACTGACTCAACCCAAGACGGACCATGCTCACTGCTGTGTGGAAATGGGTCTAGACATGATTGACACCATAACGTGAGTGCTGTTTTTAATTAGCAATTGTCTGGATTCATGTGTGACCTTAGAACATTTTCAAGTCAAGTCTCCACACATGCACTGAAAGCCTGATAGCAAAACATTAGACACTTACACTTGTTCAAGCAAAGAACATGTCTGACTAGTATTTATCTCCACATCTTGAGAGATATCCACTTAAGAAGGAGTCTTATGTGTTTTAAATCTAAGATTTTCTTTGTAGTTTGTATTTATGCATAAAGATGCTAAAACCACAACCTTGATTATGATACTGGTGAACATATGCTGTTGTCCCCAATTCTACGGTTCCTGCAGGTCAGTAGCAGAGGCCACAGAAGTAAACCTTAACATGCGTGTGGGCTTGCACACGGGACGAGTGCTGTGTGGAGTGCTGGGCCTCAGGAAGTGGCAGTATGATGTGTGGTCAAATGATGTGACGCTGGCCAATGTGATGGAAGCAGGAGGACTACCGGGGTCAGTGTTAAATTTTGTACAGACGTGAGAGCCTCAAAACCTTTGGGTGCTATTCTGCTGCTTTGGAAAGATAACATGACTAACTGATCAGGCAATTTACTATTAAACCTCTGTCTTCATTCTGAATGGTTTTAGGATGTCTTGCTATTTTTCACAAAGTTTTGGTAAACTGCTTGTTGTTGCTATTACAGATTTGCACATTTGAAATTTCTGCTTGATAAAAAAGAATCTCCAGACTAAAGGCAACTTTATATCCCACAAAAAATAAATAAATAAAATAAAACATCTGCTGAGCTAACTAAGACACATCAAATGTCTTTCCCAATCCTTGTGCTTTCTTCTGTTATTTGAAGACTTCATCATGCAACACATTTGCATATTTTTTTCCAAAGTGAACTAGTTTAATGTGCATTAAACAGACTGAGCAGCTGTCCTGCATTCTGCCACTCTTGGCCAATCAAATGACTCATCCAAGCAAAGGGAGCTTCTTGAGAGGGGCCTCAGAAACAGGAAGCATTTTAAACAGTAGGTGGCAAGCCCAAAACATGGTTAAAAGAAAGATGTGTTGTTTTTGTACACAAGAACCTGTAAACTTGATCTTGAGAATTCTGAGTGGAGGAAAGAGCTAGTAATTTGGCTCTTGAGGATACAAACAGAAAACAAATAAAATATTTAATTATACTTGAACTATTTTGCGCTGACTGCTTGAGAAACTGGAAAGAACAAAAAGATCTACCGGTACTTATTATGATGGCATAAACCAGCCAGAGCAGGAATTCAGGGCTTGTTTTGCCACATTTCTTTCTGCCTATGCATTAAGCTCACCTTGTTGTGTACCACAGGAAGGTTCACATCACCAGATCAACGCTCGAGTGCCTAAATGGAGATTATGAGGTGGAGCCTGGAAATGGTCACGAAAGGAATGCCTTCCTTCAAAAGCATGAAATAGAAACTTTCTTTATTGTGCCATCTCACCGACGAAAGGTACCTTATGTTAGGGAATCCTACTGTAACACTAAATATTTAGTTGTTTTATTATTATTATTATTTTGTAGAGCTTATAATATGAACACTAGTAAAGCATATGCAGAATGCTGAGCTTTATTAATGAATGACTGCTTGATGAAGTCAGAGTGGGCTGTTTGAAAAGTAGTAATTATTTCTGCCAAGATTAACAAACGTCAGCTATAGAAGGACCACAGCACTCAGCTTTATATGATAAAAGATACACACATATGTTGTTGAACTATTTTTTTTTTCTGACCTGTAATGAATTGGGTTTTAAAGAGGTAAAAACCTAAATAAATCTAAATTTGACTGAATCAACAAACTTCCATTTTGAAGTGGGAGTTTTTCATTTCAGTTCGTTTCCCTGTGGTTGCTTTTCTTTTTCTTCCCTCTGCTCGTTATTTTCAGCAGCAGGTTTTACATTACGCGTGATAAGATTTGCATGTAGGTTCACTGGTTTCACGTGTGAACCTCTGAGATCCACTGTACTTTTCTTAGCAATGTAAAAGATTTCCTTAGTCTTCTTAATTTAGCTGATGGTTCAACTTCATCAAAGATATGCCCACACTGCAGCTGCTTCTCCTGCAGGGACATACCTCAAACAGAGAATATAGATTTTGCTACAAATGACACACTCAAAGCCTTTAACGTACACTTAATCTTTATCACTTTCTGAATCATCTTCAGGGTCCTGAAATGATATAAATAGCCTCAGGGATTACCCTACCTCCTTTCAAGCACATTCTACTTAATTTCTCTAGCTTAATACCAATGTTTGCATGTGTGTGCACGTGCATGTATATACTCCAAATTCTGTGCATGAGTTATAAAGTTATATATCTGTATATAACATATATTTTGCTGTGTGGTGCACTTATCACTCGTTCCCATTTCTTATCTGGTGACAGATATTCCCAGGATTGATTCTTTCGGATATAAAGCCTGCCAAAAAAATGAAGTTCAAAACTGTGTGCTACTTACTGGTGCAGCTCATGCACTGCAGGAAGATGTTCAAGGCTGAGATTCCCTTCTCCAATGTCATGAACTGCGAGGACGGTGACAAGGTATTGAGTCTTGTGTGTGTGCGTTGAAGGTTTTGTGTTTGTTCGTGCTGTGATTCGCTAAAAGACTCGCCAGCTAGAGTTTCCTGGAAAATCTATTGTGTCTTGTATGATTTATTGTTTGCTTGCACTGTTGGTCTCTCTGCCTGAGTCTAACATAACATTTACCCCAACAAACCAGGCACTGTCAATGAAACTGGCAATCTGCCCAACTCGTAAGGAACTCATTGACCTTGAGTGTCTGTTAAAAAAAAAAAACCTGTGTACACTTCAATGTCATTTTAACTCAGTGTTGTTAGCTTACACTATGTACCAATGTGTCTCTTTCTGGTGGAAAAGGGTGAGTGATCTTGTAAAGTATCCACTTGGTGGTAACTTCTGAGTCATATTAAACACATTTGTGCAGAGTAAAGTGACATCAGAATCAGAATACTTTTATAATCCTTGCACAGTGAAGTACAACAAAATTAATTTCCGTACAGCCATCCTAAAGGTGGACAAAAGTGTACAGGGGGCTGCAGCTTCTAAAACGTGCTTTCCCTGTTTCTTAGATAAGAAAAATGGAAAAAAAAAACATAAGGAGAGAGGTATAAAAAAAAAGATCTCTCACACCGTGTCCTTGACAGGGCATGGTTTGAGGCATTAAAAAACTACCACAGCAAAGCAACATAAATAGACATAATATGTATGCGTGTGGAGTGGGTAGGGGGTGAGGGTCCCAGCATGGCCTCCAGGTGAGCAACACAGTCCTTGGCACCTTTGCATCTCCTAGGTTGCTGCACCAGGGGAGGCGAGGGAGGCCATTGGAGGCATTGAGTTTGAGGGAAGGTCATAGCACAGCACAGTCCAGAGACCTCCCCCTAACCATAGTCCTGATAAGAGGTGTTTGTTTATCAGCCAGCTCAGTTGAGCTCTGTCACAGGTCCACGACCTTGGGGAAGAGAGGGGGTGGGGAGGGGGACAAAGCATCTTTGTTTCCATAACATCCAAGGAGAAATTTGAGATAGTTCACCTTCCAAGGCCAGGTCCAGATTCAGATGTCAACATTGTTTTGGGTCAGGCTGATCTCATAAATGTCTGTGTCTGCCTTAACAGTCTCACTAGTACATTCTCTCATGGTACCTCCAAACAGCCAAATTTGATTACTTACGCCAAGTCGAGCTTACAATTTCTCCAAGATTTATTCCTTCCAACCGTTCATGGCCACTGCCAGAAAGTTCCACAGTACTGATAAGGATCAGCCGGCTCAGCTTTGATACAGCACCACATATAGTTCACACAGAGTCTGAGTGCTGCCAAGCTCAGCACATTCTCCACATTCTAGGCAGCTTAAACAGCTGCTGATGTTTCTGAATTTGTCGACAATCCAGATTTCCACCAATTCCAAACTGTAAAATCCAGTTATCATAGATTCAATTATGTTTCCGTCGAATTAAGAGGGTTCTCCTTCACCCTGACTACCTGTTGAGAAAAAATTGATCAATTTCATTGAGAGACCAGCTGATCAAGTCCTTGGTTGCAATTCAGACAGTACACAAAAAAGGAGTCCTGAAAAAGGTTCACAAGACAAAGAGCAAAGCAGGGATGGAGCAGAGGACACAGTTGCCTTCGAGAGCAAGCAAGAAAAGTGTTAATACAAGACATGTTAAAACAATGCCATTTACAGGTCAACAGAAATACTAAAAATTTCCTGGAGAAACATTGACAGGGACTGCCATGTGGCGACCATTTAACAATTTAGTTTCGACTGTACTATATGTTGGGGTTCGGTCTCAGCTACTGCCAAACCAAATTTCAACTTAATATGGCCAAAAAAAACAAAAAAAAAAGCTTTATGGTCATTTTTTCTTGTAAGCTATGATGACCATCTTGGATTTTTGATTTGGATGCAGCATGTGATGTAGAATGTTCTCAGTTACAATCAAACCAAATTTTAGCTCAATAGTTTAAAGAATGACTGAGTAAGAGTCAATTTTGACATTCTCAGATAGCTGTGGCAGCCATCTTGAACGAAAATAGCTCCAAAAATTAATCAGTGTTTTGTTCATGGACCTCTCCACTCTAGGTCATGTGACCTCACTATGGCAGTTAGAGGCCATTAAAAGATCCATCAGGCATTTTCTATGAGAAAATGGCATATTTGTTTACAAATTACGTTGCCATGGTAACTCAAAAACACTAATAAAAGTACCGAAGTAGCGCACATCACGATGCCGAGCCGGTCATTTTGATACAGTATAATATTTGTGGGGGTACATGTTGCGGTTCAGGCCCCATTAAAGTTGAAGGAAGAGCAAGACCCTTTTCAGGTGGATAAAAATAGGTGGCTGCCATATAGGCAGTCCCCAATAAATGCAGTTTTGTTGTTGCTGTTAGAGATGTGGTTGTGCTACTGAGTTCATCCATCCCTTATCTTTTTACCCACTTCTTCCTTATCGGGTCACAGGGTTCACTGGTGCCCATATCCAGCAGTCACTGTGCGAGGGGCGGGGGACACCCTGGACAGGTCGCAAGTCCAACACAGGGCTACTGAGTTCATTGTGAAAATGCAAAATCAGCAGCAGCATCTGCAGGCAACTCTGTTACATTCTTACAAGTAACCCTAAACAAATAAATGGTGGTAGAAACATGGTAAAATGGGGAACACAACAGAAAAATAGGGAAACAGTTAGACAAGACTAGACAAAAATAAGGGTTAGGGCAATGAGACATATGTAGCACGAGAGGAACGAATGACGTAAATGTGATATTAAAGTGTTAAAAGATGCAGAATATAAGAAGTACAGTTGTAGACACAAGAAATAACATAATTAAAGCTAGATTTTACAGAAACAGGCAGAGGAGGAACATGACAGAGGTAGTTGTACACAACCGTCATGAACTCCTAAAAAGTCTGATGATCTTTACTTACTCCCCACCCCCACACATGTTGAGCTAAGCTGCAAAGTTCAAGAAGCATGCTCATTTACACGTACACAAATCTGCACACACAGACACACACCAACTACGTCATGTAATGTGGCTTTGCTCCACTGTTTTGCAAAGCTGCTCATTTTGCCTGCTGAAGACACTTACACATTTGATGATGAAGTTAAGTATGAAGGCAATGCTCTAATTTAAAAGTATAATCAGCTGCTCGTGCTTACTGTTGACTCTTCTTCGCCCTCATTCCTAATATGATAATATCGAAGCAGTCCAGAGAATAAAGAGTGCAGCAGTGCAGTTATATTAATAAAGATTTTTATGTCACCCCTTTCCAGCGGAGGGCCATGCGTACAGCTCCACAGAAGCTGAGGAACCACAACAATGCTAACCAGGCTAACGTGATCCAGAGCAGTCCCAGAACCAGGGTCAACCGCTACATTGGTCGGCTGATCGAGGCCCGCCAGACCGAGTCGGACACAGCAGACCTCAACTTCCTCACACTCATGTATAAGTGCTCTGAGCGCGAGCAGAAGGTAAAATATTGACACAACATGTGCCTATTCCCTGATTAGCTGACCTTTTAATCCTTGATGAGTGAGTAGGATTAAATAAACTTAGCATTAAAGGATGGCTCGAAACTTTTGCATATTTAAGTTTCTTGAAAAGGTTAAAGTGAGTGAATGATGCAAATATGTAATATTTTGTTATTGAATCCTCTCTTTTTTTTTATAGTACCACCAGGTTCCTGATGAGTACTTCACCAGCGCAGTGGTCCTCTCTCTGATCCTAGCTGCCTTGTTTGGCCTTGTTTATCTTCTCATCATACCCCAGTATGTACACCAGTTGATATTCTGGTTATTAATGCTATTGTCATTGTTTTATAGATATTCTGTATTTATTTCTTTTATACTAATTCCTCCATTTTTCTTTCTGTTTTGTAAACTCAGGGGCACAGTGGTACTTGTCCTCCTCGTCTTCTGCATCTGCTTCCTAGTTACTTGTATTATGTACCTCCATATTACTAGAATACAGGTAAAAACAGATTCTTTTTCCAACTTGATTGATTTTCTGTATCCACATCAGGGCTTAATTTGAGCCGGATCCTGCAGGAACAGGATCCGGGAACTCTCTTATGTTGACAGGGTGCGTTCCGGTAACTATTTGCTCGGTTCCAGTAATGCTCATGTTTACTAATAATAAAGTTATGAACAAATATGACTGCCTTGAATTAATAAAACTCCTTTTGGATATATAAACTGACAAAAAATTACATAAACACTCATTTTAAACACAACAGCCACTTACGAGCTTCTTAATATCATATACAAGCTGCCCCTTCAAGTAAGCATTTCAGCTTCTACACTTAAAAAAATCTCTGCCCCTAAAAGTCCAAAGTCATTGTGCAATTTTATTAAAAAACTCAAAAATACAATGAAACAGCCCAACTAAACTGCAACTCAGTTTGACAGTTTAAATGGATCATTAATACAATTTTTGATTATGTATTAAAAATACAACAAGAGAAATGTTTGATGTTTATTATACAGATCACGGCGTTAATTTGTCAAAATAACAGCGATCAAAATGTCAAAAAGACAGTCCAATTTACTTTCATAAAAAAAAAAAGGCTTCTCGTTGTCCTTAGTTGGACAACCGAGAATTGAAGCACCTGAAGGCAGTGTCAATCGAGACTAGAGCAGGAGCGAGCGAGTGGTGGGGGTGAATGCCGAGATAACCAGGCAGTCGTATGCAGGCAGACCCCCACAGGCAGCCGTCATGAACAGACGGAGGAGGTACCTGGAGGTTTCACATGTGGAGTTAGACAACAACGAGCAGGATGAGCAGTTCAGCGGAGAAGAGTCGGGCTCGGAACCGTCAAGTAAGGAGGAGTGTTGGGGTAGGATGCTTGACAGAAATGAAGTGTTTACAAACGCAGGTAAATGTAGATGTTGACCAACCCATGAAAATACACCAAAATGCAGTAAATAGCATTTACTTATTCAAAATTTTCTGGACACTCACCCCCACCACTCGCTTGCTCCTGTCTCAATTGTCCAGTCCCGATTGCCACTGCCTTAAAGTGCTTCAATTTGCGGTTGTCCAACTAAGGACAATGAAAAGCCTTTTTTTAATGAAAGTAAATTTAACCCCAAAACCCGGCCCACCCGCTATTTGTGTTTCGGCATCGATCAGTTTATAAATTAAGCCCTGATCAGCATGTATAGAATGCTTCACGGTTCAGATGATAAATATATAAATTTGTATTCCTCATGCTGTTTCTGATCATTACCCTCCCTGGCTTTGTCTGTCAGTGTTTTCCAGGGTGCCTGACCATTCAGATTCGTACAGCTCTCTGTATTCTCATAGTGCTCTTAATCTACGCTGTGGCCCAGGCCTGTGTTGTAAGTCTCTAAAGCATCGTTACTGTTAGAGTCCACATTCAATGTTGAAAATGTTTTGTTTGAAACTGGTAGGACATCTCTGTATGTTTGCCTTTGTCAGGTGGGCTGTATGCCCTGGTGGTGGGGTAGTGCCAATACAAACAGCTCCATCGTCATCATCGATGTGGACAGCGAAGCTAACCGCACCATGACGGAGATGCCCTGTGACGGGGCCCGCTATGCCTTCCTCTCCTGTGTGGTGGGCACCCTCACCTTGGCACTTTTCCTGCGTATCTCTTGGCTGCCAAAGATGGCGCTGATGCTCCTTGTAGGGGTGCTGTATGTCACCGTGCTGGAGCTCAGCGGCTTTCGCAAGACTGCAGGGTGAGGGCCGTGACACAGCATGAAAACGCACACTTTAGATTTCTGTTATTTCATAAAGGTGCATGACATCACTTTGCATTAAAGTTTAAACCAGGTAGGATGTGTTGTCATGCAGGCATCATGCAGACGGATGCAAGCGTCGAGCAGTCATCCTTTATGTTTGTTTAAAACAGAAACGCAGACTGGTAAACAGGAGCTCGAACATTTACAGTACATGTGCTGAGATGTATGTGTGTAGAGGAGTTGTTGCTTGTCTTCAGCCCACACACTCTTTCATTTCCACCCTTTGAAGGAGCACACATGCTTATTAGCTCCAAATCAGAAGCCTGAAAGGACAATGTGGGCTGGATGATGGGAGCATGTTAGCTCTGCTCAAGAGCATGGCTAATGTTATTAGAGCTCGGAGTAAAAAATTATTGTCGTGATTTTTGCTTTTGAGTTTATCATTAAAAGTTCAGTTTGTTTCAATGCAAGTGATGCTTCGTGTTGTGTTTAATGAAGTGGCAAAATGCTTTTTTTTTTTAAATCTCCAAAAAATGTTGTTTTTCTCTTGATATTGTCTTTCAAATAGTTTTGTTTTTTTTACTTGACTCATGTTCTTCCTCGACGCTGTGGTGGGTCCCGTCCACCCTCACATGTTGTTTTCGTTGTGGTCTGCTCTATTGCTGACTTCTGTGTGTGTGTGTGTCTTTTCCACAGTGGGGGGTCCTTCCACATCCGGGGCTACGAGCCCATCCTGTCTCTGTTGCTCTTTGTCAGTGCGCTGGCCCTCCACTCCAGGCAACTTGACCTCAAACTGCGCTTGGACTTCCTTTGGGCTGTGCAGGTCTGTAAGTTTGCACTGATGTGTCTGTTCAAGCATGAAAAGGCTGTGGATGTTGAGATGCTTGAATCTTACATTTGTAAAACAAGCTTTAGCGGGAATGCTGCCACTTCAGATCTGATATATTGGGTTAAGTGAGGAGGATGTAACTATATAAGCTGCCAGCAGCCTCTTTCTTGGCAAAAACAAGTGCAAGAAGCTAATTTTGGCCTTGTTTTGTGCAGGACTAAGCATGCCACATACTGGGACAGAAGCACAAAATCTAAATTTTAAACAGTTTACCTTTTAACTAGAAGCATAATTATTCTTCTGTTCAGTTGTGACACTTGAGTTGAAGTCTCTGAAGGTTTTTTACTGACTCCATGTGGTGAAAAAGTGGAACAAGCTGTGGTGCTCCCAGCCTTTATTTTAATATTTTGCTTTGCCTTCAGGCAGAGGAGGAAAGGGACGGGATGGAGAAAGTAAAGCTGGACAATCGGAGGATCCTCTTCAATCTACTGCCTGCCCACGTGGCTCAGCACTTCTTAATGTCAAACCCTAGAAACATGGTGAGCCACGCTAACAAACAGGCAGGCAGTCAGACAGACAAACAGGTAGATAAAAAAGGCAGCAGACAAAAGTTAGGAGAACTTCCGAGGACATCTTTTGTTTATTTCACCGTTTACTTTGTTTCCTGTTAGGATCTGTATTATCAGTCCTACGCTCAAGTCGGTGTCCTATTTGCCTCAATCCCGAACTTTAATGATTTCTACATTGAACTGGACGGCAACAACATGGGAGTGGAGTGCCTGAGGCTGCTGAATGAAATCATCGCTGACTTTGATGAGGTCTGATTCTCTGCTTCATATTGTGCATTATCTGTTGTCGTTTGAATGCAGTTTGCACCTTGGTGTTTGTTAAACTGAACGTGTCTTGCAGCTCATGGATAAGGAATGCTACAAAGACATTGAGAAAATCAAAACCATTGGCAGCACATACATGGCAGCCGTGGGACTCGTCCCCACTGTTGGAAACAAGGTGGCTTTCCTTTTCTGTTTGTTTGACTGTTTTTTACTTGCATAAAATTATGAGCATTATGGGAATCATTAGTGAACCTTTTAAAGTAATAGTTCTCATACTTTGAAGAGGAGCTTTGTGGATAAGTTTTGAGCAATCATTCAATATCTGATCTGTTGTAGGTCAATTTAATAGTGAGCTGATGGCTAGTCCGACAAATACACCTTCTTACTGTACTGCTTGCGTCTTACAATTTCAAAACTCTTAATGCAAAAGTTATTTTATGAACCTTTGCAACACGGTCAATTTAGTATTTCATGGTCACTCCAGCAGAATCATTAGAGTATATTTCTACCAGAAGTGTCTGAGGCTGATTTGCAACAGCTAACTTCTAATTTGATTTAAAATGTCCTGATTCATGCTCAGTAATCCAGGTAGATGGATCTAACAAGGTTGAGTCAGGTCCTCTGGATGGATTCTTCTTTGTTGAAGCGTTTTTGTCTTTTGTCCAAAAGTCTTCTTCAGTCTTCATTTAGTCTTCAGACTGAAGAAGTCCTTTGGATAAAAGATGAAACATTTCAATAAAGAAGAATGCATAAAGAGGACCTGACTCAACCTTGTAAATGATCATTTGATTACTTTTTGCTTGCAAAAAATGGTAGTGTCTCAATACAGATTATGGTATAAGTATCAGGCTCAAACAAAAACTTTGCAATATTTCCATCCGATACCAATTTTATGTTTTGTCACATAATTTTCTTTTCCACATCACAAGTAACAAAGGCCAATAAATAAAAATATGACTGTTGTTTGGAAATGTTTTGGAAAAAGCATAGGTGATGTTAAGACAGCAGACTGTTTGCTAATCTCAATAAAATATACAGTATTTCTAAAGTCATTGAGTAATGTTTAAGTACTGACTCATTAAGTACTCTCTGTCGGTACTTAGTATCAGCAAGTGCCCAAACTAAAGAACCTGGACTTCTACTTCTACTTGTACTTGACCTGAAAAAAATAGATAAATGACACCCCCTACTAAACAACTGAATTTTATCTAAATCATCATGTAAAATTGACTGAAGTGTGAAGGTTTATTTAAAAAAATAAGGTTTTGCATGGATCATGATGACATTTTTGAGACTGAATTTGTTTAAAGACGGCAGTAATCTGTTTTGGTTTGAACCTGATTAAGACAAGCCACTAGTTTATTAGTCTGGTCATAGTTAAACATCCATCCATTCATTATCTTTACCCACTTCTTCCACTTTGGGTCATGGGGGTTGCCGATGCCCATGTCCAGCCATCACTGTGTGAGGGGCGGGGTACACCCTGGACAGGTCTCCAGTCCATTACAGGGAAGCATAGAGATAAATGAGACAAACAACCATTCACTCTCTCATTCACACCTTGAGACAATTTAGTTAAAAATCATTCTAACATGCATGTTTTTGGTCTGTGGGAGGAAATCGGAGTACCTGTAGAAAATCCATGCATGCACAGAGAGAACATGCAAGCTCCACCCAGAAAGGTTCCCGGACCGGGATTTGAACCAGGGTAACCTGCTTGCTGAGAGGCAGCAGCTCTACCAGTTGTGCCACCGTGCTGCCCTAATTAAACATTATATCTCTAAATTAAAATCATTTAATGAGTCATCTAAAGCAGATAAGATATTAATTGATCATAAACTTTCCACAAATCCCCACTTCAGAAGATTTGTGTTTAACTGTGTAGATCCTTTCTAACTACTTCTCTCGTCTCAAGGAGAAAAAATTGGTTTATGACCACGTGAGCACATTAGCAGACTACGCCATCGAAATGTTTGACGTCTTGGATGAAATCAACTACCAATCATACAACGAGTTTGTCCTGAGAGTGGGTGAGTTCACCTGCAAAAGAGATGTAATCTGGCACAGAGAAATGCCAATGTAATTAGATCTGTCTTAATGTTTGTGTTAATTTGGACAGGTATCAATGTGGGTCCAGTAGTTGCAGGGGTGATTGGTGCACGGAGGCCTCAGTATGACATCTGGGGTAACACGGTCAATGTGGCGAGTCGGATGGACAGCACTGGTGTTCCAGGAAAAATACAGGTGGTTAGAACATCGACAGCTCCAAATGAGACAACCCTAACATAAGATTTTACATCAGGTTTTGTCAATTAAAATCTACCTTAAGAGCTGTAACATAGTTGTGAAAGTATGATTTTTGACAACCATGTCATTAATTGAGCCAAAACAATTGGGTTAATGCAGGGGCGATTCTAGTATCTGAACTTTAGGGGTGCTTAGCCCCCAGTACTTACGATGGCACTTGGCTTGAACAACATAGTGGCCACTGACTTCAGAAGCATTCATAATGTGGAGGGGACACACTGGGGGGGGAGTCCCCCCCCCCCAGAACATTTTGAATAAAGTACAAAGTAGATGTCATTTCCTGCATTCTGGTGTATTTTAACCTGTTGTTAAACATCTATGTTTATCCACATAACTAAACACTTGATTCAATAAGAAGATTCATAAAGAAGTAGCGCTAAGCTAGCAGCTTGCGATACAGATGTGCTAGCTAAGACGCTACAGACGTAATACTCTGCTGTACACATCCTAATAAACACTTTGTACAAAATCAGTTTAGTGTTAACTGATCGTAAGAAACAAATACTAAACTTATGCAACCAGAAGTTGCAACATATATCTACATACAGAACACACAAAATAAAGTACAAGCATTTAATTTAAACATTAAGCATACAACGTAACTATGACAGAAAATTGAGGATTTACTTGAAGTTACCTTTGTACAGATGAACATGTGGTACTTCCTGTTTATCACTGTCATAGCAATGAGGTCGGCTGCAGGGCTTTATCAACTTTTACATTTTTACAGGCTCAGTTTAGGTTTTAGAAATGGAATAAACTGTATTTCACCCTCAAAATCAGGATTATTCAACTAAACTGCTCAGGGGGGCACAGTTACTGAAAGCAGCAGCTCAGAGGCCGGACATCCAACAATTAAAGTCATCATGTAAATAAATCAAGTATTACAATGATCTGTTAACTTTTTAATTTGTTAAGTTTGTTGCATTGAATCATAAATACAACCAACAGAACCCAAACCTAGAACCGTAAAACAAACAAACAAACAAAAAATATATATACATACATACATATATATATATACATTTTTTAACCTTGTTTTTCAGGAGTGCTGAGTTAAAAATTTAGGATTGCTTGAGCACCCCCAAAAAATAAGTTAAAATCGCCACTGGATGAATGTGAGAAAAGTTTCAAAGGATAGTTGTATCCAGTGAAAATAAACTATAGTGTTCCTTAGCATTGTCTCTTCATAGCCTGTGTACAACCTTGAAGATAGAGTTAACAGCTTTGCAGCTTTTAAATAATAACAATAATAATAATAAAGCAAGTTTATAGCTTAAAATGTTAAGTTCCCCCCAGTAAGTGTCAAATTAAACTTTTCTAATGTTTCTCTTTCATTTTCCAGGTCACTGAGGAGGTTTATCGGCTACTGAACACCAACTATGACCTGGTCTGCCGTGGCAAGGTCAGCGTAAAAGGCAAAGGTGAGATGTTGACTTACTTCCTGGAAGGGAAGGTGCAGGGCATTGGCACAGCAACCACTTCATCAGTGATGCGTTCTGCCAGCTTAGCACGCCGCATCCACTCCTGTGGCAAGACCAGCGTCCCAACCAATCTGGGCAGCGTCTCCTCCGCTGCCAGCCTGAGCGTGGCTCACACGAGCACAGCCAGCAATGTTCAGATTAACATTGGCAACAGCCAAGCGACAAGCCTGCCCTCTTCCTGCGTGCCTGCAGTGGGTGAGGAGGAAGATGAAGAGGACATAGAGGTGACGCAGATCCAAATCGAGGCTGTGGCAGCCATTGCAGATGCAGCAGTCTAAGAAGATGGACGAGACTGTCTCAAATGCAACAGGAGCACCTGCAGTGGCCAGGCCTGCCCAGGAATTTACTATAAATCCTGACTATACCGGCACAACCCAGGATGTGCTCATTCAGGACGTAATCCTCCTGAGACACGAAGTGATGGTGTTGGACAATCACACTTGCTTTTAGAGATTTTTTTTCACTGCTCGCCACTTTTCATAAATGAGATGTGGGGAGAAGAAAGGTGAACCCAGAATCTGAACTCTTCTTTAAGCATCTTTGTAACAGATGATTAGATTTGTGGCGTTCTCGGGTTCTTTCAGGTCCAGGTATAGCGTGCATCTTTGTGTTATATAAAGTGCATCTTTCCACATGCGGGGGATATGTACGTTGGTTCTCAAAAAAAAAAAGACTGCTCATGTATTTGCTTTTGCACTGTCCTTCTGATTATGCCAAGGATATATTGCATTATTTACTGAGAAAAAATGTGGTCCTTCTGTGTGTGTGGGTGTGTGAGTGCATGGTGTGTACTTGCGTGTGTGTATGCCTGTGTGAATAATTTTAAATTGTAACAAAACAGCACAAATTCCTTTTTTATACCCACTTTTCACTAGATGGATTAGGCTTTTTATGATGTGTGGCGTATTAATAGATAAAACAAAGGATGACTTTTTAAGAGTTGACAGCCATAGTAATGAAACTCCTGCTGAAAGAAAACCAAAGTAATGATCATTTCATAGAACGTTTACTACTTTTATTGCCTCCACAAAAGAGGAAAACATTTGTTTGACATGTGGCTGTTTTTTTTTTCTTCCAGATATCAATTATGGACCTAAAAAGTGTCCAGACTTGATGTAGTTCTGATTCACAAAGGTTTAATGTAATGGAATTAAAAACAAAAAAAATATTGGCGTTTTAACAGCAAGAAAATAATAAAGCCAACAGAAGGACTTTATGCCGAAAGTAGACAAATAAAGAGAATATTTCACATATATTCCTCATGACATCTATTCCTAAAGAAGAGAGCACATACACATGAAAATAAGCACACCACGTCCATAAATGCATGACCTTTAAGTGTTTCAAATGCTCCATGTAAGTCCGCATACCTTGCAGCTGCACCCACTTTGATGCAGAGTCTAGCTGCTGTTGTTTTTCAGCCATTTGCATTACAGTGCTATTGCTTTTCATCATATTTAAGCTGCAGCTTGAGTTTTCTGTGAACAACCTTGACTCTCCGATGCTGCTTTGGACATGCGAGGCATGCTGCATACCCTTACAGGCCGCATCTTAAAGTGCATCGACATTTCACTTGATCTGCAAAAGTGTGAATACATTACGTTTCAAGTTCTTGCCTTACTCAATAAGCTTACAGTGACTGCAACCTGCCTTTATAGATTTAGTCACTTTGATATCCAGATCGTACTTTTTTTGTAAATAGCCAAAAGCTGTAAACTATGTTGTATCTTGTACAGTTTAAAGTTGGGTTATTGAATATTTTGTAATAAATACTATATTGGTGTATAAAATACCTCATCTGTGTGCTTGTGAATACCAGCAAATGAAAGTAATTTCTGGCATACTGGGTCACAAAACAAGTAAATCTGATAGGAGTGGAAATTGTTTATTATTATTATTTAAAGGAATAGTTATTTTATTAAAGTGGGGTTTATGAGAAGGTTATGAACTAAAAACATCTTACCTGTTACTTGATACTTTACACATACATACATATGCATACACCACATTAAAAACATTAACAGAACTGCCTTCTGCGTAATATCGCTAAAATTAGAAACATCTTATTTAAAAATTATGCAGAAATACTGCTTCATGCTTTTGTCACATCTAGGCTGGACTATTGCAATTGTTTATTATCTGAGTGTCCAAATACGTCTTTAAAAAGTCTTCAGTTGATCCAAAATGCTGCTGCCAGAGTCTTAACTGGAGTTAGTAGGAGAGATCAGCTCTCCAGTTTTAGTTTCTCTCCAATGGCTCCCTGTCAAATCCAGAATTGAATTCAAAATCCTACTTCTAACCTACAAAGCCCTCAACAGCCTAGCTCCATTTTATATTTGAGATTGAGATTGAATTAAATTGAATTGAATTGATTTATAGCTCTTTAAATGAGCTCTCTTTTGGTAGAATTGTTTAATTCTCACAGGAATGATGAGCTAAGTAGTCCAAGTAAAACTAAGACTAAAGTGAATTGCAACCCTTTCAAACTGAATCTCAAAATCCTGGGTCACTTCTGATAGGAATCTTATAATAGTTTTTGCAGAATAACGAAATAATTTAAAACTGACAGCAATGTGGTGTTTCTAAAATACCATACACATGAACTGCTTGAGGGCAGCACGGTGGCACAACTGGTAGAGCTGCTGCCTCTCGGCGAGCAGGTCCCTGGTTCAAATCCTGGTCCGGGGGCCTTTCTGGGTGGAGTTTGCATGTTCTCTCCGTGCATGCGTTGGTTTTCTCCGGGTGCTCCGGTTTTGTTCCACAAACCAAAAACATGCATGTTAGGTTGATTGGTAACTCTAAATTGTCTCAAGGTGTGAGTGAGACAGTGAATGGTTGTTTGTCTCTACCTGTATGTGTCCCTGTGATGGACTTGCGACCTGTCCAGGGTGTCCCCCTCCCCTCGCACAATTGCTGGACATGGGCACCGGCGACCCCCGTGACCCAAAATGGAAGAAGCAGGTAAAAGATAATGGATGGATGGATGAACTGCTTGGAAACTTTGAGGCTGAAGTTGATTTAAGATGGAAGAAATCCACTTTTTTCTCTGTTCTGCTTGAGCAGTTGGCTCATCAGTCTGGTCAAAATTAAATTCCATTTCTTTTAAACTTATGTTCAATTAGTTATCTACAACAGGTAACATATTTAATATTTATAATCTCTCCACAGTATCCTACTTCAAATGATCTGAATCATTTGTTGAATGTCTATCCTGAAACACATCTTTACCTCACACACAGCAGTGTCTGAAGGTTAACATTGCTTCTTATTTTTATTAATATTATTTATACTGATGGCTCCTAAAATAGCTTTTTACTCCACATAACCAAAAGCATTAAATAAGGAGATTTTTTTCATTTGGTCAGAGCACCTCAATGACTCATTTTGCAATGTCACAATGTCAAACTCTGTACAGGGGCCAACATTGTTTTTCCCAGCGTTGATGTGGCGTTTGTTGGGTTCACTCGGTGTAACAGTTAAGTCAACAAACACCTGCCTTGTGCAACCTTTTTATGCACAGTGCAACACTGGAACTGTTGTTGCTTTGCACTGAAGCTCAACAGATGCTGGTCAGTTATTAACAGCTCAGAGTAAACAAGCTGTGTCTTGACAACGATTTGACTTTGTAGAAAACAGTTTTATTGTGCAGCTTTTAAGGTTTAAGAAACGAAAAGGAAACAACGAGGGTCACCAAACACCACTGAAAGGGTCGGGATGGGTCAGCAAAGTTACTATTTTTATTTTTGTTTAGATTGAGCTTGATTTTCAATAAAAAAATATAAAATTTTAGAGTTTTTTTATTTTGTTTTGTTTCAATTTTTTTATTGGTAGGTGGGGCAAATAGGTGATATTCACTATTATTTTATTTTTTTTACTATGAAGAGTTTATTCATACCCAAAAAATACACTTATTGTTTTTGTATTATTTTTTTATCAGGGTGAATTTATTCCTCACCTGGTAACACTTTACAATAAGGTGCACAATATTTGCTTAACTATTAGGGAACGCCTCAGGAACGAATCAGGAGCTAATGGGTAGTTAACCAGTACTTACTGGGGAACACAGGCAAACCTTATCAGGGGACTACTGGTTTGTTACATTGTAAATGAAGATGAACTAATAAAGAACTAATGGGTAGTTATCAAGGAAACCAAAGAGGAAGGAATCAGGAGCTAATGGGTAGTTAACAAATAGGTTTACAAAAGAGAAAATCCAGTAAAATCAGTAGCAGTCACTAGGAAACAGGTTTTTGACTAAACGAGCTGTGACCTCACTGGTACAACGTTTATTCAGAACCAACATGGAGAATTTCTCTGTTTATGTTGTAACAAACCAGTAGTCCCCTAATAAGGCTTGGCTCTGTGTTCCCCAGTAAGCACTGGTTAACTCCCCATTAGCTCCTGATTCGTTCCTCTTTGGTTTCCTTGGTAACTACCCATTAGTTCTTGATTAGTTCCTTTTCATTTACAAGGTAACTAACCAGTAGTTCCCTAATAAGGTTTGGCTGTGTGTTCCCCAGTAAGTACTGGTTAACTACCCATAAGCTCCTGATTCATTACTGAGGCATTCACTAGTAGCTAAGCAAATTTTGTGTACCTTATTGTAAAGTGTTACCCCTCACCCTATTTTTCTTATGTGCTTTACATCTTCTGCTGATTTTTTTTTTTTGCACATTAAAGGCTCCTTTTACACTAAAAATCAAAAAGTTTATTATGATTTGAAAGTACCATAAATGACTAATGTTACAATTCTGCATAATAGGATTTGGATAGGATGTTAAACATGTAAATATTAAATAAAATGTAGAAATGTGTGTGATTTAAAACACTGAAATGGACTCAATTAGATTTCTTTATTACAAAGGTTAACAAGCCTGGTGCTTTGGTCTTGTTGGTAAAATAATTATGTGTTGTTGAACAAAGAAAATGAATAAAATTAAATTAAAATTAACAGACGCAACAAACTTTAAATATTACTCAGTTTTCACAATTTTTAAATATAAAAAAACAGGAATCTTCAATACAGGCTCAAGATTATTTTTATCCCTTGAAATGTAAACTAGTATTTTAATTCATCTCATCGTATTATAATTATTTATTTAATTTATTTTTGTTGTTCTGCTTCATATCTCTTTACAACATTTGTTTCATGGGGTTTTTTTTTTTTTTTTTTTGGCTGCATGTCAAAATCTCCCTGCTGTGATGCAGGTGTCTCATTAAGCGTCCGCACCTGATGGAAATATTCAATTAACAAACATGTGGCCACTCTCACTTTAGACTCTCTGGGACTTGTACAATAACAAAGCCTCATCAGCTAAATGGACACCCTGCAGCTAACTGTAAGTCTGGTTTATGTATAGCTAGGAAAAATGTTGAACTTTATTAATAACTGGTTCACATGTTGATCTGTGTTGTTTTTTTGTTTTGTTTCTTGTTAATGTAAAATGGTGGGAAAGAGACTACCTCTGGAGCCAATAGAAGAAGAGTCAAAGCAAGAAGATGAATCTGAAGGAGCAGACAGAGAAGAAGAGAATTTAGAGTCTCAAGTGGATGCTGAGACCGAGGAGGTAGTCGCTGAAAATGAAAGAGGAGAAGAAGAAGAAGGAGAAAATGATGATGATGGGAGTTTCCTTTTTCTGAGACCAGGACGGGTCTCTCGTTCTGTAAGCCAGAAGAGTTTCATTCAAATTCAATCTGACAACCAGGTGAATGAAAATAATTCAGTGTCAGATTTGAGCGCCCGTGCTCCAGATCTGAGCGATGACGACGTTCCGCTACCAAAGTCAGCAAAAGAGAAGCGTTCAAGTGGAGAGAAGCTGAGACTGAAGGCAAGAATTCTGAAGAACTTCATACTTCTATTAAATGTGCAGCTGTTGTAAACGGGTTGTTATGATCTGTTTTTTTTTTCCAAGGTCTCCAAGAAATACTGGAAAAAACAGACAAGTAACTCATCAAGGAAAAGGAAAAGAAAAATCAACAAGGAGCTGGTAGTTTTTTATTTATTTATCAAGATTCTTAAAAAAAAAAAACTGTAAAATTTAAATGTATTGCAAGTTAGTTTTTAACAATATTATTTTGTTCCCAAATATTTTAAAGGAGCCATTTCCAGAGTGGGTAGTAAACCTGATGGTCAGCATTGAAGAGGCAACAACTCATCAGCTTGTGGTTGAATAACACAGTTAATGTAGAACATCATCCTGCTGAGACGATCAGTCCAAATTCTCTGTTCAGGGCTCCCACTGCCAGTGAAGTCCGTTTGTAAATTAGGTATAATCTGCCAAAATAAGGTACAATCAGAAAAACAAACGTATTTAGTCATTTTGAAAGAGGAGTTCATTGTCTGGTGCAATTTTCTGTTTTTTCATTGCAATAGTCAATAAATCTGTAAATTCTTTAAAGGGCAAGATTCAAGATTTTTCCAATTTTTTTTTTTTTTTTTTTAACTTTTCATT